AAGGTTTCATATTTGTGCATCTATCCCTCTAGGTTAATGAAGAGGTCAGCTGCGCCGCGCTAAGCAGTCTAGGGGAGCCACGCGGCAGCTCTTCCTTCTCCTATAAAAGCCTAGGCTCAGTGTGCAGACAGGCAGAGTTGTCGCGGGCTACTCTCGCATGGCAGACAGTCTCTGCGCGACTCTGATCGTCTGCACTCTGAGCGTAAGCCTCGGTTAGTGGAAAAGACGCAGAGGTGCTGCCGCGTGGCATCGCTAAACCACGCTAGCAGCGGAGCAGCTTACCTCTTCACTGTCCATAGAGAAGGATGCCCAAATATGGAACCTGCAGTGGTTGTCTGTCTCCGCCCATACGTTCAGCGCGGACCTCGTCTTCATGTATCAATCGTTTTTCCCTGCTTTTCCTGTAGGATTGCGTCGTGTCCCCATAGCAACACATGAACAGCTCATTTAACAGTCGTTTCAATTTTTATTACTAAAATTTTATTTTAAGGTCAATATAACCTCGGTTGAAATTGATGAGCTCGTCGTGAAAGTGGCGTTTAAGTGGTTCGGAATGAAAGATTCAAGGTATCATCACACCGTTGTTCAAGATGGTACAGTATTTCTCAAACAGGCTGCAGCACAAGGTAATATTCCCAGTAATTTTTCAAAAGATTTGAGACATTTAGGTCCGCCTGTTCACTTTCGTGACTCATCTTTCCTTTGTTAAAACTCTGGGGCGTTAAGTTGGTTGGAGACCACTAGCTAGAGCCTGCGTATCCTTCGGCTAAAGGCGAGTACCACGATAAATCCCAACAACGTTTAGGATTATTACGCCTAGCAGTACATAATTCAGCGCCTCTGAGCGGACGTTGCATGCGCGATTCCCAAGGAAGGCAGAGAAGTGAGAAATGCCAAGACGAACACCACCTCCGAGCCGAACAATACAAAATTGATCATATATAAGACATAAAAGTTCCATTAAGGCTCTGTTTATTTGTTCAATTATTTATTGAGCATCAATTCTACCATCCAGGCAGAAAATTCGATCTTGTGATTGTGGACACATGTGATGATTTTGGAGAATGTCCTGCAAAGTCATTCCGGAAACCTGATGTTTTGAGGACCCTTAAGAAAGTTTTGAAATCCACAGGTTAGTTAGAAATATGTGAATAGCAAGATTGAGCTTCTGAAATTTTCGATACAGCAATAGATTTCGATCTTCACTTTAGGTTCAGGCTGGTTATTGACGTGCAGCCGGAACTCGTATCAAAAGAAGCAAGCTCGCATGAGTTGAAGGTTAGCCCTAACCCCCCCCCCCCATTGTAACAAAAAGAAACCAATTCCCAAGCGTAGCAGGCTACGGATATCAATACACGCTGAACATATGGGAGGAGTCAGCCAACTTTTATAGCCTACCCAGACCTGGCCGCGTCGCCCTACCCTTACTGGAGAACGGTAGCACGAGACAGGGGCATGGCAGCGAAGAAAGTGGATTATTGTAAAAACATAGTTGAAAAACTAATTCTTTACAGCGTCGCTCAGGCCATCTCTTCTTCGACACTAGTTGTTAGCACCATTCAAACATGATGTGGAGGTGAGTGACCAAGTGGGCTCTTATTTTATTTATCGCCAGTAAGGTTGTGTCGGAATAGTGAGAAGATGACTTTGGGAGTGAGTGAGTGCGCAGTGCTTTAGGAAGATAGCCAGTAAGCTGAGAGATGAGAATGGAGGGGCATGATTGAACCTTGCAATAAATCTACCCGACGGTTTTTTCCCAAATTTCTCCAATACCCTGTCCGTGAAATCGTAGCGAATGGAAAAGTCAGCCCAACACTGAAAGTGCACTCCGCTGATTGTCGATATGAACACGCTGGCAAGGTTTCAACTGTTTTCCCGTCTGCGCCTCCTAGGAAGAAATGAAATGCAACGGTTTTCACCCGTTCAGCATACGAAATGCTTTTCCATGCCCTCTCTACCTGCAGCAGCTCATAAACTTACCTGGCTGGGGGGATCTCGCGATCAAGAAGGCGGGACCCCCGTGGTGAGGCCCTCACATTGCACTTTAGTGAGGGCTGACCCGCGTGGCTACCTCGAGGTGAGGTAAGCCAACGGCTAAATTTTTGCGTGTGGGGCTGCGTTCGCGCGGCCCTGGCAAAGGGTGAAACGTTTGTTGTGTAGGGGCTACGTGGTGGGGAACATGGGGAGGGGGAGAGGAGCCGTTACTGACCCTCAGAGAAAGTTCTCTCGCAGGTGGAGAAACTTTTCGGCGATTACTCTTTCGGGAGAAATTTTTCGAGGATCAAAAAACCCGGAAAACCATCGATCGCAACTAATTCTCTCTCCGAATCGGAGGTGGTAGTGGCAAGAGGTACGTTTACCGCACGCGCGCTCCGGGGTCAAATCCCAAATTGGCTCCCGTCGAGGCCAACGAAGAAATTGGTACCAGATTCATGTGGGAGGATAATACTGAGTTGTACATCGGCCCAAACCTATATTCGGTCATTGTATGAGCCATATTGCATTCAAAGTGTCACTGCAATCCTGAATGGAAATTGAGTGCTTGGCGCATCCCAGAAGGGACTGGTCAGCGGCGAAAACTTTACCTTTTTCAATTTCTCGCCGCTGGCATAAATTTCTCTAGGGGTTGGGCACGACCCTTCCCGCCCTCGATGTTCTCCAAGCACTGCTGTTCATTGTCTGCCCTATAACTGGTTACCTTTCCTATTTAGTCTGCACATACGTAGCCCCTTCCCACCAAATCGTTCACTTTTTGCCAGGGCCGCGCGAACGCAGCCCCACACGCAAAAATTTAGCCGTTGGCTCACCTCACCTCGAGGTAGCCACGCAGGTCAGCCTTCACTAAAGTGCAATGTGAGGGCCTCACCACGGGGGTCCCGCCTTCTTGATCGCGAGATCCCCCCAGCCAGGTAAGTTTATGAGCTTGCCGCAGGTCTGAAGGGCATGGAAAAGCATTTCGTATGCTGAAAGGGTGAAAACCGGTGCATTTCACTTCTTCCTGAGAGACGCAGACGGGAAAACAATTGGAAGCACCTTGCTGACGTGTTCGTATCGACAATCAACGGTGTGCACTTTCAATGTTGGTCTGATTTTGCCGTTCGCTACAATTTTGCGGACAGACTGCCGGGGAAAATTGTGGAAAAAAGCCGTTGCGACCCGAATTCTTAACCCTCAGCCCACTTACAACAAACTTTCAACTTTCCTGCATTCTCCCAACTTCCTACTACAACTTTTCCCCCACTTTTCCACAAGAATTTTTGGCACTATTAAGCTGTTACTACTCCAAAACTCAACATTTTTCCGCTGAAACTTTGCTCACAGAGGTTATGCAAAGTCCTGATCACGGTGCTGGCGCCATTTGACACCACCACCTATCTCACCAAAGCAGATAAGACTTGTAAACGAGGGTAATTTTAGGTAGCGGCTTTGACGTCGGTCCTGAGGACGTAAGAGATCAGGCTGCTGTCCTGGCGCTGAACAGTGTGGAATTAAACTGAGATTTTGTTCACGGACCGTGCTTTTCTCGGTTTAGGCATCTTCACAAGACACGTATTTAGCTCTGATGATGCTTCCGTGGGGGAGACGGGCAACAGAATCGTAAATTGCCGCTTCGTCGCGCGCGGCAATGGGCGCGACGTTTCCTCAATTTGCACTACCCTTTCGATTGGAGCATCGGATTTCATGTAGACAAGGACATGGTAGACACTTATGTCTATTTTCAGTCATACATTGTTTATTCTGGACCAATACTATTAGGTCATCCCATTCAAACTTGCCGCTACATATAGAGGAATGGCAGCAAAGGGGATAGAGCAGCGGGCTACTATACCATTTGGAGGCTAGTACCTTAAGCTGTGTATCTGTGAAATTTGGCGAACCTAGCCCCAGAAGAAGTTCTCGAGAAATTGAAAAGAAGCCCGAGTGGTGAAAATCGGCGCCGGTTTTTCAAATCAGACGTCATAA